TTTAATTATTATTTATTTAATTTTTTATTCTTCAAAACAGAGTTTTAATTTTTGCTACATCTGGTTGTTCTCTCCAGAGTGCACAGTCCTAAAGCAGGGTCTGCTAATAACGTGGGACTTGAAGAGAATGTGTGTTTGTATTTCTGTAAAAATATTTCCAATATTTTCTTAAAAATTACTTTAGCCTAACTTATTAGGAAGATGGTATTTTTTTCATGAATGAAATAACTTTTCAAAAATTAATAGCATGTGATCTGACTTCCAGTTTTGCCCCATAAATTGTGCTTCCTATATATATATATATCTGTTTTATAACATGACTTTCTATTTTGGGAGAACAGCTGAGATTAAGATGTAGGAACCGAAGTAATACAGTATCTGGTAGCCAACAGCTGAGGAGCAAGAATGCTCCTTTGAAATGAGACCTGCTAGAAGCAGGATGTCATGATGCTGGAAAGTATTTTGGTTTAAGACCTCTTAAGGATTTACCGTATCATCTGCTTCCCAAATATTCCTTAGCCCTGTCTGCTTGGACCCTTACTTCTGTACAGTTACTGTCCACCCAAGTCCTGCTGTGCTGCTGTGAAGGTGTTAATCTTGTGTTCATGGCTTATGTTGAGGAAGTGGCTGCAGGCTAGCCCTGACACTGTAATATTCTGTTCTCATTTTATAATCCCAAGTGTGTTTTGTATCTGCATGTCTGTGCTTGTGGTTTGTTGGTGATGCTTAAAGACATCAGCACTGAACTATCAGAAGGACTTTTTTGATGCTTCTCTGCCCACCAGCCTTTGCAAGCACAGACCTATTTTCTCTGAGTACACAAGTGAAGCTTGTGCTTACGGTGTTTTGGGGCAGAGGTCTTGATTCCTGGCATGAACACCTGAGCTGCTTTGCAGGGTTAAATGGACAGCTTCCCTGTGCTGAATGATTTGCCTTTACAGGAGTTGATAATGACCCTGCTTAAACTGTACCTGTTTACAGATGTTCTTGCTCGCGGGCTGTTTTGGGTAAATAACTTTCCCTTAATGCCAGGTCTGAGGGTCCTTTGGTAAAACATTAACAGAGAAGTTAGTGAGGTCTCATTGTGCTGGATCTATTCCTGTGCAGAGCTAATTTAACTGAATTCGAGGTTAGCCTGACCTCAGAGGGAGAAGTATGTGATTCAATTGGCTCAAACCAGTTGAAACGCAAACTTATTCAGATGCATACAGAAGAATAATTAACATACAATTGGCCTGACTTCTTCAAAGATAAGAAGCTCTTGTGATACTTTGGTTGTTGCAGTAGAAAATCCAATAAACAGCACCAGTGGCTCACCTGAAAATTCCCCTGTATCAAAGTATTTTCTTTTAAAAGAAGATTCAAACACATTGAGATAAATATGTAATGTTTGAAACAGAGGCTGTACAGGAGGGTGTGCCCAACTGCCTCCTTAAGGAGAAGGGCTACCCATTCTGTTCCCTCCTCCCTGCCTTGCCAACACAGCCTGTGGTGGCTGTGATGTCCCCTAAATCTGGCAGGGATAATACCACCCTGATGGAGAAAGTGAAGGGAAAGATGCTCAAATTAAAGCATCTTGGGATTTTTCTAAAGCTGAAGTGACAGTCTACCAGTTTTTGGAACAGAGGAAATATCTGTATTTGGAAAGTTCTTTTTTCTGGAAGATATGGGTTTGTAAAAATACAGATTTATTTTAAAATCACCTAAAATACTGTCTGTTTTCTATCTTTTCCATCTGAACAAATGCGGCTGGGATTGGAGAAGATGGGATATATCTATAGGAAGGGGGTCTGCTTCTACGATGGGTCTTGGGGACTCCTGTTGTCCCAAGGGCTTGTGATTCCAGCCACGGAGGTTTGCCCCACTGTTGTCTTTAGTCTTTCTGAAACTAGCTGGAAAGAACTTATAAATTGGCTTTATAAAGCTAGAATTCAGATTACTTACCCTGTTGTAACTGTGGTTTATAATAAGAGCTTGAAATTCATGTTACAGTGACAACAAGAACAGCGGCATTAAACTATTGCTCCACTATCTATATGAACTAAAACATCATCTGTTTCTGAAATCAACAATCATAATTTTTAGCAGTTGTTATGCTTAAATGCAATGAGATTTATTTTTTCTGCCATACAAGGTGTCTTGTCAGGTGTTAGTGAGCATAACTGCTATAAGCAACTTAATTTACAATTTTCACTTTTTTTTAACCTCTAGAAAGAAATCAATACCTTACTGACTTGTCTTTAACCTCAGTGAGAGACACATAATTTTGGTTGTGCTATAATCTTCCTTCTAAATCATGAAAATAAAGGCTGGAAAGAGCTACCGTTGAGCTTTATTATGTTTATATTGCTCCTGCAGGAGGCATTCCACTACCAAGGTATGCTGCATATGGTGCGTCAAAAGCAGCTTTGGCCATGTTTTCTGGAGTAATGAGGCAAGAGCTTTCCAAATGGGGAATTAAAGTTGCTGCAATTCATCCGTCAGGCTTCCGAACAGGTTGGTATTTGACATTTCGGATAGCTCTTTCTGCCTCACTTCTTTCCCTGTGGTCCAGCATCCCCAAACAGAGCCCTGAGTGATTCTCAGCACTTGGACTTTTTTCCCCCATTCTTTATGTTGTTTATGGAAATGAAGATCTGCATTCCCTCCAGTTCTGCATCTGCCTGCCTCTGCTTTGCAAGTGCAGCCGTTCTCCTAGGCAGAGCTTTCCTTGCTTTGAGACAGGGCAGGGTTCATGCAATTGGTGTCTTCCTGTTGCTGTAGCTTTGTTGAAGTTAACAAACCAAGCATCATGGTGTGTTGGGGATGAGTGTTATCGCTTGCTTGTCCTGCATGAGGGCTTCAGGGGTCACTCTCAGCCCTGCCTTTCTTAATACAAGAGCTCTCTTGCATTGGAGCGTTTGCAGCAATACCTATTGTCCTGCTTACTTGCTGTCAATATTACTCTGGTATTTCCTCTCCACTCCTTCTCTCTGCTGTGCTCCTGCTGTTTTCTGTTCCAAACCCTTCTCCTTCCACTACTCCGAGCACTTTCTGCAGAGCCCATCTGGGTTACAGACTCATGTCCTGCTGCACCCGAGTGCCAGATGATTGTCATACAGTTCCCTGCTCTATGGACATGCCTGGCAGCTACCTGAGGACATCAAATACCACTACTGTCTACTTAGCAAGTCCTGGTGACTTTATGGAGACCTTAATTCTTAAACTGATGAAAAGCAAAATGGTCTTTGTCATAAATCCCTGCTCCATTGAATGCCTCCCTTCCTGGGCAAAGGCTCTGTGGGGCACTGGACTCTGACAGTGTCTGAGTGGTCAGGGGTACCTGCCTGAGGTTTTACCTTCAGGGCCCCGTTGTCAGTCTTCTGGATGAAAAATTAGTGCATCAAAACAAGCCCTGGTATTTCAGATTTAAGTGTTTATTTAAAGGTTTTATTTATTTGCAATGCTTAATGAACAATAGATAGGCAATAAATGCACTGGAAAAGCCATTGCTTTTGTTCCTACATGATGCAGATGGGGGAGGGGGGGAGGGAAATGAATAACTTTTAAAGAAAACTGGCCTAATACAAGCTTTTTTCTTCATGAAGCTAGTTATTGAAGTACCAGTGTCACTTGTGAAAGAGGAGCTTAGCACTTGGCTGACACAAGTGAATTCTGTTCACCTTAGTTTGCCTGTCTTTCCTTGATCACTCATATATGTTAACAAATACTGATTAGAAACACCCACAAAATGAATAAGGGCAGAATGAGGGGGAGGAAAAAATGCTGACATGGCTGTGAGAGCCTTTTTAGATGGAGCTGGTAACCAAACAGTACATGCTTTTTTTAGTAGTCTGTGCTTCAATCTTTTCTTTATTCTCAAGGTAAAAGCACTCACAGCTAACCAGCACCTTTCTCTGTTCTTCACTGACCCAGTTTAGAACAACTGTGAATCAGGATCATGGGGGAGAACACTTACTGACTATTAATTATAGATGATTTTGTTTAATTCAGCCCCAAACCCACTTGCTATACTGTGATGTTACTGCTGCAGGTATACAAGGTACTTCTGACATCTGGGATAAGCAAGAAGAGGAGCTGATGGAGAACCTCCCAGAAGACACGAGAAAAGCCTATGGTGACGAGTACCTCCTGGGGCTGAAAAGCTACCTCCTGCACATGCCTATGTACTGTGATGCCAACCTCTCCCCTGTGCTGAATGCTGTCCTGCATGCTTTGCTGGCCAAAAGACCACATGGCTTGTACACCCCTGGCAAAGGGGCTTACATGCCCCTCTGCATCTTCTGCTACTTTCCTCTCTGGTTCTATGACTTTTTCATGAGTAAGATGCTGACTTCTCAGCCTGTCCCAAGGGCACTGAGAACATCAGAAGCAGAAAGCAAGAATCTCTAAGGTATCCATTAGTATTTGCCTTACTTGATGAGATAACTGGGGAAAACTCTATTTTAAGACACTGCTATTTATTGTACTGTCTTTGTTAAATTACATCTACACTTCCTTACAAACAGAAGTAAATCTTTGTGTTAAAAGTAATGTTCAGGAAAAGTAGTGGACAAACAGAAATAGAAAGCTATTCCCAGATGGGGCATTTTTGCAAGAGTTTGAGTGTTTTCCTGATGCTTTTGTATCCTGCCTTCTGTGTAAGGTATCTCATGAGGTTATATAGTTCCTGTCTGCTTCAAAAGGCACCACCATCACACAGACAGATGTATAACCTACTTTTTTCAAAACAAAACAATCCTTGAAAATCGACAACCTTATTAAACATCATGATGAGTTACATACATGTCTATCACTGAAGAGATTTAGAAATGTCGAATGCAAATCCTTCTCACTGCAGCTTCAGCCTAATATATTGTGGGCTTTTCTATTGTTCTGCTGCTGTTGAACCTAAGAAATTATTGACCTTTTCCCCACCAAGTTTTGTGAAGTATAGTTGTGATGTTTATCATGTATCCTCTTTGCTAGCCTAAGCAACGTATATTAGTTGGGGGGAAAATGAACAAAAACAGGTCAAGACTTTTATGAAGAAGTAATCAATCTCCTTCCTACAGTATTAGAAAAAGTAATGATAGGTGTATCAGCTGCTAAGTTAATATGACTGTCTTGGTTATTCTGAGCCTTGCCTGTATATGCCTGCACTTCTTTAATTATTAGTAAACTGTTACCTCACATCTACTTTTTGTCCAATTCCTTCCTTGGCTCTGGGTTTATGAAGAACTCAGGGTTTTGCTCATTACTCCTGACACCTTTCTGTGTTGCCCTCTGCTTTGGGGAGAGTTTGTACTCACTCCTCTGAGTCAGTTTTCAGGTTGGCTTTAATGGAGTCCAGTGTCCATCTTCTGATGGATTTTGATCATTCCTTTTCCCTAAAGCCATTGTAGGAGCATCAGGTGACCTCCCTGCTGCTGATTGTCCCTATGCCCTATACCATAAAACCAATGCCAAGAGGTTGGGCAGATCACCTATATTTTCCCTACCTCACTTGCATTTTTCATTGCCTGTCACATCCCCTGTCTTTGAAAGGCTGTGATATTTTGAAAGCAAGCCTCATCCCCCCCTGCATTCCCTGGCTTGGCCATATGTCCTGTGCCTTGCTTTGACAAGATATATTTCTTTTCTGATGATGAAAAAGTAAAAGTTGTTACATTCTGGGCTTTAAATGTAGATAGACTTTTTTTCCCTTCCTTTCTGAGCAAATTCCAGTCTTCTGTCATAATCGTCCTCATGTGATGTACTCTTGCAGTCAACTGAACAAAATCACAATTTGATTTGCATCTGTAGTATTTCTTCCATCTTCTTGCTTCTTTTACATCAGTGCAGGACTCCTGTTAGTGCACAGGCAATGGTCAGCAGACATGGCCCACGGTTTTAATTTCTGACTCAGTGTGGAAATCATCCTGTCCTGTACACTTACTTTGTTATGATTACTGCTTTTGCTACTGAGCCTTATGTCCTTGCAGGTTTATATTAGTCTCCTGATTACAAACCTTAGTTTTCCTTTGAAAAACTGTGACCAAATGTTTTTCACTCAAAATCTGGGGCTATGTCTGTCTCTGCCCACTTCTTCCTTTATTTTCCAAATATTTTTTGTCAGCAAAAATGCATAATAAAATATCACTTAGTAACTGGATTGCTGTGACTTCTGTCTTATCTTATCCTTTGTGTTTTGTGCTCCCTTCCTGGGCTGCCCTTTGTTCCTTCAGTAGGAGAGCACAGAGAGACCTTCTTCAGGGGAAAGGGGCAGGATGACATTTGGTGCCTTGTTTTAGGTAGGGCATGATCCCAAATGGCTCAAAGGCAGCTTGTGAGCTGAAAGGAAAGGCAGGTGCAATGGGATGCAGAGCCAGGGGCGGCAACCTCTGAATTTTGGCTACCTTCAGGGCAAAGGAACTTGCTGCCAGTCAGCCTGTCTCCATCCCCATCTTGGATAGATGTGGTTGTTTTTCATTTCACACATAATTTAAGTGTAACTTAGGTGGGCTGGAATTTTGCCCTCAGGTACATGATATATTACATAACCAAAATTCCTCTTAGCAGCCAGTTGGCTGTTTTGAGTAGCAAACTTCATAACAATCTTTAATTCATATAATCATAAAATGGTTTGGGTTGGAAGGGGCCTTAAAGATTAAAGATTAAATTGTTGCTTTGTTATTTGGCTGGGGTTATAAGACGTAATTTCTTTTTTCTCCCTTTTCTTAATAGGAATATTATCTTCCACGTTGCAGGCATATTAAACCAGGCATCTACATGGAAGATCTGACTTATTTTATTTTTGCTTTTCCTTTCCAGGAAATTTATGTTCTAAATAGTCATTTTACATCTCTTCACCTAACTACAAAGATTTTTTAGCAAACCTCAATAATTGTGGTATCAAAGATTGTTATGATTTTTTTCCTGCAGGGATCTTATTTTGTCTTTTAAAGATAATTCTGTTGTAACACATTATTGAATTATGTGCCATTTAATGGGCTGTAATATTAGAGGTGAATTTCTTTTTGCTAATGGTTTGCATTGCAAATAATCCAATATGTGAGGCTGGGAGAACTGCAGAATAAATTGTGGATGTTTGTGGCCAACACACCCATGTAGATATTAATGCCAATGCAAGCTCATGCTCTCAAAGACCAGTGCCTATGTGTTATGCTCCTTTACATGTATAGCTTGCATATTACATATAGGTTACATATATAGATAATGAAAAGCTATTTTAAGGGTAGAAAGAGAGGATGTTTAGTTCTAGCACTGGAAACTGATGTATTAAAACTCCCAAACTAATGACCACGATTTGGATCTATTTTCAAAGATAACATTTCTAACAAAAAACATGTGGCATGAAGAAAAGCATCTGATAAGTTGAAGAAATTGGCTGTAGCCCTAAAAAAGGGCTAATAAATAATACTCTAAAATGTCACTTAGTGCCCCACACTAATCAAGTGTGTATAGTTTAAAAGGGGTGATAAGCTGCAGAAATCATGATTAAACAGTAGGTTTTATACACATTCCTCTGATCCAGCTGCTGGAATGCAGGTTATGACTGAGAAGTAAATGCTGTTGGATGCTTTTTACCAAGCAAATCCCTGACTGGTGTTCTGGGGCTCCCACTCTCCCATGTTGCATTTATTACTCTGGCTGACATAATGTTCTTACTTCATGTGAACAATTGATTTTCAGATACGTAGCTTTAGTGAGACAAAAGGTGAGTTGGAATGTAGTTTGCTTTTGTAACTTCTTTTATTCTGGATCCATTTGCCCTCTTTACAGTGCCCCGATGGCCACCTTATCTAATGCCTGCTTCTAGCATTGCAAGCTGGAGAAGGCAGATAAAATATCAGGACTTTTTGTGGTTATGTCAATAGCTGGCCATGGCAGGCAGCCATGGTGGCCACTTGCCAAAGGACCATCTCTGCATTTCAAGAAGAGCAAGGAAGTGTCAACATGTGGGACTGTCCATGTGGCTGGAGGTAGGGAAAAGGCCTGGAAAGTTTCAAGTGTGTTCTAACAAGAGCTCTGACAGTGAATTTTGGGTTGGATATAACTGGTGGCATAGGAGAGTGGGGAGTGCTGGATCACTGAGCTTTATGGACTTGTGAGGGGACAGGGATTAATCCCAACACTGCTTTCAAGGCCTGTAGGAGGTTGAGCAGACCCTCCTGTGTCAGACCATTTTATGCTGGCTGCCTTGGTAATGGTTGTGCACAGCTTTGTTGTTTAAGCCAAAGCCACCAATATAGCATCAAATACATACAGTAATCCTAATGTCCATTTTTCACTAGTAGAGGCCAAAAATGGGGATAGGGAGAAAAGAAATAGTTGCTTTTTTATAGTTTAATGATCATGAAAAGAAGCTTAGATGATAGTTCTAAACTGAAGTATTTAAAATTTGACTACATGGCCATTAAAATGACTTCTTACTGTTAGGACACACATGAATATTAGAGAATCTCCAGATTTTGCCAGTTTGAGTCCCTGCTATCCTGAGAAGAAAGGGAACAACATCCATGTTCCTATGAGTGCATGCTCTGTATATGAGGGGTTTGTTTTGTTTATAGTTGCCTAAGAAAAGCCATTATAATATTTGTGTATATATATTTTTTTTTTGTATCAAGAGGATGCTTCCAGTCAACTTTCAGATCTCAGTGATATCAAAAACCTCTGGTTTTGCTGTAAATTAACTAGTCCGGGCACAGCATTGCACAGATACAACTACAATGGGTTGCATTCTATTTGCTTGGATCAGATGGCCGTCAGCATCCATCTGTGCACAAGTCAGATTGCCAGTGTGTTTGGGTCAAATAGGTGAGTTTGGTCATTTTTCCTAAAGAGGCTGGTTCTGGGATCCTTTCTGGGGTAAGTCATTGCCTGGTTTAGCCTTTTTATGGCTGTGTTTCGAATCAGCTGGATTCCCAAAATGATGCAACACCCAAGCGTGTTGTGGATCATGGAGTCATCATATTTCTAGGAACTCTCAAAGAAAATTCCTTTGAAATAAAACTCATGCAGACTTCAAAGGAAAAGCATTCAAACAAAAGATCTTGGCTCCTGCAAGGACTTTAACAGGAGGGTGTCTTTTTTTTCCTGTTTCTTAAAAGTGTTAGGATACATAAATGGAAAGTATTGCTGCTGCCAGGAAACACCCAGCACATTGGATCCTGAGATGCCTGAGGTGCAATCATTCCGGCTGAAACTTGTCAGCTGATGTAGTGCTCCCTGGTATGCAGACACCATCATAGGCACTATTTCAATAAGCAATGCTTGTGTCATCCAAGCTGAACATTAGAGCTGTTGCTGTTCAGTTATAGATGTATTGTGGCAACCTTGGGGCAGTGGTCTTTTACCATGGTAAGAGAGGTAATTGCTTTTGCTTTTTAAGCATGACCAAATAATAAATC